GGTCTATTCCACAAGAAGAGACGCTGGGAAACTGTTCTTGCCTGCTTATGCGTTGGGCACACTTGCCTCACATTCCTGTCCCATGTCACACTCTGATCGACCCTTTTGCTTCTCATTCAGTGTTCCTCTTTCAGTCCCACACGTCTTACTATCCTGTTCCTGCTTTATAGTAAGCTGTACCTCTGCTTCTCCTTACTTATTCTCTCTTGACGACCCCCTAACCCACTGGCCTTCCTCTCAGAATCCCCTTCCTTTTCCTTAAACAACTTGTACTCTCTCCTCAGATGCGTAGATACCCTTCATTTGATCTAATTGCCCTGTGCCCTTAACTTGTCCCCCTTCTAACAACATTTACCTTGTACAATACCCCATTAATTCAGCCTCTCTGCCTGTTCACTGCTAGCACTGTTTTACATTTAACTTTACCCTAATCATTAACTCATTCCTAACCCTCTTCACTGCTATACTTTACCACAGTGATATATGATCTTGATGTCTGGCACATTTTTTATTTGTTTTAACAACTTATAATTAATGATTATAGTTTTTGTTGGTATCATCATCATAGTTATTGTCATTGTGATTATTATCAGTTTTGTAGGTTTTATTATTTTTATTATTGTTTAGTATCAATTTAATTTTATGTAGTTTTATTATTTTGTATTTAATTTTATGTAGTTTTATTATTTTGTATTATTTTTGATTTTTAATCTAATCATCATCACCATCACCACCATTACTATTATCAGCACCACCACCACCATCGCCACTTTCGCTTTCCTTTTCATCACTGTTGTTTTTGTTGTTGTTGTTGGATGCCTTTGGGTCTGGTGCAGAGGTTGTATCATTCAGCTGTGAGTGCAACGGGTAATATTAACCGAGGTGACTTTTTCTGACCATGGCAGTTGCAAGGTGCATCCAGACACCTAAGAGAAGTGAAAATCCATCTCAACAAATCCTTGATCTTGGGGTAACAGAACTAATTTGGGGGGAGGGGGTTGCTAAGGGTAGAATTTCCCCTTTCATATGTTGTTCTTGTGTGTTTGGATTTGTTATGCAAAGTCCGCTGAATTATATCTGATAAAGGCTCCAGTCGCCTTTGCACCAGAAAGCTAGGCCAGAAAGAAAAGAGCCCTTTCTGTCTAATGGATGTCTTTCTGTTATCTAAACTCCTACCTTGATATTTGTTTTTAGGATTATTAAGATCATCAACAGTATCATAGTTACTGCTAGTCCTAATAATATTGATACCACTGAAGGCCATTATGTGATGAAGGAAAACGTCCCTCACATGTATAATTACTCAGAAAGGCATTGCTTATCTTTTACTTTAAAGATGGGAATCAATTGTCTCCTTTTCATGAATTATTGTCATTTGGATATATAAACTGTAGACCTTATCAGTGTGTGATATGTAAGGGATGTATTAGCTATGCCATAACTACTGAAATGCAGTATTCACAGCTGTGGGTAGTATATTAAAAAGGTGAAGAGCTATGTATCTGAATTACCGTATATTAGTTAATAGTCTATGCATGAGTAACTAAACCTGTTATGTAAAAATATGTCAAATATTGATTTATTTATATATTTATTAGTTTAATACAAAGTTTCCCTCTGTGATATATTTGTATGCCAGTTGATGACATTATGAAAGAAAACAATTTAGGTATATGCATCAGTTAACATCACATCTCCTGTAAGTTTTTTCTCTATCATTAGCTCAGTAAATTTATGATCATATTGTTGTAAGAAATCAATTTATTGAGAAGGTAATAAGATTTTTACTAAAATGTGTTTATTTTCTTCCAGCACGACAGAATAGGAAAGAAGAATCTAGGAGACGTGATCAACGGGCCGCCGCTAGATCCCAGCGACCCCTTTGCATCGGATGAGGATGCTGCCCTCCGCGCCCTGGCGAGACAGTTCGAAAATAGATATGTGAGCATCTTGGGCCAAAGTTGTTTCTGAGTTGGGCCTCCATTGTCGATTTTGGTCATGGTTTTCATAGCTTGCATTTTCTTGTGTAGTATTTTTCTCTGTATTTTATGAAATTTGCTAAGTGATATTTTTTAGATCATCAGATTATACAAAATATATTGATATTTGATATTAGAATATAGTGATTTGAATTAGAAACTTTCAGCACATTATTTTACTTGATTAGAGATAATTTTTACAAGTCATTTTGGCCAGATGAAAATGTTGTTTGCTGGGTAATCATCATACTAATTATTCAGATATTCATGAATTAATGCTGACAAATCAAAAGATTAAGAGATAATGGTAACTGATAATTCAGAGAGGTAGCTGGATTCTATGACGTACAAGCTCAAGTAGAGATTGTCATTCTGGCAAAGTAGCTTGCCTCCATTTCCCTGTTGAGTAACTTAAGAAATCCTAGTTTTCTTTTTTTTTTTTTAGCTTTTTCTTTCTCGGGCATTGGTATTGAACGAAGTGAAGTGCATTTCGAAATTGAGTGTTGCTTTATTTCCAGGGTGGTTATATACCAAATAAGAAGAAGAAGAGAAGAAAAGAGAATGATTTTAGCACGCTCGGAGAAGGCTATGACGTGACGGATCCCTTCATCGACAATTCGGGTGGTGTGAGTGTGAATACTTTCTTCCATCAGGCTTCATTCAGCCATTATGAACTATGCATACAAATATATGGCCTTATGTAGATAAAAATAAAGTGACGTAGACTTGGCTGTTACCAGATTGCATTTGTGTTCAATCCTCTCTTTAATTTTCAGTTCGATGAGGTTATGCCAGTCCACAAGGAGACAAAAGAACGTGGGTTTTATATCAATTCTGGGGTGTTAGACTTTGAGGAGGTTAAGGAGGGAGAAGAATCGTCATCTTCGTCGTCTGAAGGAGAAGACTCAGAGGAGAGTGAAACGGAAGTTAAAAAGAAAAAGAAAATGGTATGATTTTTATGTGATTTTTATGTGTATTTATTGCAAGTTATGTCAGTTTAAACTTTCATCTGTAACAAGTGTTGATATACTCATGTTGTGCACTCAGCCTCATGATTGTAGTGAATTAAGGTGGAAAAACAAACAAACAAACAAACACACGCACACGCATGCACACACACACTCACTCACTCACTCACTCACTCACTCATATTTCAGTGTAAATAAACTTATGTATTAGAAATTCAAATATTACCTTCCACAGAATCGAATAGACTCGGATGAGGAGGAACAGGAAGACGAAGATGAGGAGTCTAAAAAGGTAAAATAGTCTAAGTGTTTTCTTCTATACATATTTTGTAGATCCTGATGAAGGGAAGGGTGTGTCTCCTCCATATCCTTCGCTGATAAAGATGATGACTTCTTAATAATCGAAAAAAAAAAATCCTTTCTTCCCTCATTTTGTTGCACTGTATTAAGTGGTATGAATTCTACTCGAGTGAAATTGTTAAATATCTGTATCAGTGTAGTATTACAATTTTCTTTTTAACTCCTACTGTGATCAGTGCTATGTCTGTTTCTTTCTGATTTCTGTGTCTTTTCAATTCATCAACATTCATCTCAACCCTCTGTCTACCATTTTCCTCTCCCTCCCCTGCTAAAGTCTGGATTATTACCTCCACATGAATATATATGGTTTTTGTTGAGTTTAATATGGTGGGATTTTTATTTTGTTAAATCATTTTTAAGCTAAAACTGTTTCTCATGTACTTACTTTTGTTCTTCCACAGAGAAAACTCCATGAAAATGGCATAATCCGTCCAAAGAAGCGAAAATTAGATGAAGGAGAGCTATTAAGAAAGAGAAAAAAGATGATTGGTCGATTTAATGCCAAGAACTTGGAGAAAAAAGATTCGGATCCTGAAACGGAGAAAGTTGTTAATGGTTGTGAGAAGAAAGGTAAGCCCTTATTTGACTCTTTGTGTTATTCGTCCATTATTTATTTATGAATAACACTTACCGCAACACCAAAATATTGACTGTAGATTATATATATATATATATATTCTGTTTCTCCCTCCAGAAGAAACACAGCCGAATGAACTGTCAATAGCAGCCAGTATTGAAGCAGTCATAAGCAAAGCACGGGAAGAAGCAGGGGAGAAGAAAGTCGAGAGCACTCACTCACTCACTCACTCACTCACTCACTCACTCACTCACTCACTCACTCACTCACTCACTCACTCACTCACTCACTCACTCACTCACTCACTCACTCACTCACTCACTCACTCACTCACTCACTCACTCACTCACTCACTCACTCACTCACTCACTCACTCACTCACTCACTCACTCACTCACTCACTCACTCACTCACTCACTCACTCACTCACTCACTCACTCACTCACTCACTCACTCACTCACTCACTCACTCACTCACTCACTCACTCACTCACTCACTCACTCACTCACTCACTCACTCACTCACTCACTCACTCACTCACTCACTCACTCACTCACTCACTCACTCACTCACTCACTCACTCACTCACTCACTCACTCACTCACTCACTCACTCACTCACTCACTCACTCACTCACTCACTCACTCACTCACTCACTCACTCACTCACTCACTCACTCACTCACTCACTCACTCACTCACTCACTCACTCACTCACTCACTCACTCACTCACTCACTCACTCACTCACTCACTCACTCACTCACTCACTCACTCACTCACTCACTCACTCACTCACTCACTCACTCACTCACTCACTCACTCACTCACTCACTCACTCACTCACTCACTCACTCACTCACTCACTCACTCACTCACTCACTCACTCACTCACTCACTCACTCACTCACTCACTCACTCACTCACTCACTCACTCACTCACTCACTCACTCACTCACTCACTCACTCACTCACTCACTCATATTTCAGTGTAAATAAACTTATGTATTAGAAATTCAAATATTACCTTCCACAGAATCGAATAGACTCGGATGAGGAGGAACAGGAAGACGAAGATGAGGAGTCTAAAAAGGTAAAATAGTCTAAGTGTTTTCTTCTATACATATTTTGTAGATCCTGATGAAGGGAAGGGTGTGTCTCCTCCATATCCTTCGCTGATAAAGATGATGACTTCTTAATAATCGAAAAAAAAAAATCCTTTCTTCCCTCATTTTGTTGCACTGTATTAAGTGGTATGAATTCTACTCGAGTGAAATTGTTAAATATCTGTATCAGTGTAGTATTACAATTTTCTTTTTAACTCCTACTGTGATCAGTGCTATGTCTGTTTCTTTCTGATTTCTGTGTCTTTTCAATTCATCAACATTCATCTCAACCCTCTGTCTACCATTTTCCTCTCCCTCCCCTGCTAAAGTCTGGATTATTACCTCCACATGAATATATATGGTTTTTGTTGAGTTTAATATGGTGGGATTTTTATTTTGTTAAATCATTTTTAAGCTAAAACTGTTCCTCATGTTCTTACTTTTGTTCTTCCACAGAGAAAACTCCATGAAAATGGCATAATCCGTCCAAAGAAGCGAAAATTAGATGAAGGAGAGCTATTAAGAAAGAGAAAAAAGATGATTGGTCGATTTAATGCCAAGAACTTGGAGAAAAAAGATTCGGATCCTGAAACGGAGAAAGTTGTTAATGGTTGTGAGAAGAAAGGTAAGCCCTTATTTGACTCTTTGTGTTATTCGTCCATTATTTATTTATGAATAACACTTACCGCAACACCAAAATATTGACTGTAGATTATATATATATATATATTCTGTTTCTCCCTCCAGAAGAAACACAGCCGAATGAACTGTCAATAGCAGCCAGTATTGAAGCAGTCATAAGCAAAGCACGGGAAGAAGCAGGGGAGAAGAAAGTCGAGAGCCAAGAATCAGGTTCTTCTGGCTCTGATTCCAGTTCTTCTGATAGCGATTCATCGGGAAGTAAGTGATTGATGACGAGGCTTTCCGAATGGCGTAGCTCATTATTATTTAAGGGGGCTTTTAGCTCAGTGTAGTGTGTTACTTTTTCATGGATTTTTGGTTGTTTTGTTTTGTGATCTCAATATTTTTTTTTTGTGGTTTATTCAACTGATTTGTACTATTTGGATTGATTTTATGTGTAAATATCTGGTCTCTCTTGATGATTATTTGATTTTAAATAAATGGTGTATTTTAGAAATCTACTGATCCATGAAGGTATAAAGATGTAGCACAGATATAAATACATAATGATCAAGTAAATAGTTTTTGTGGGGGGGATGTCTAGAAATCACAATGGTTCATTAATCCAGAATTTTGGAAACTACAGGCTCGTCATCAAGTGATAGTGAATCAGAAGAAGAGGAAGAAGAAGGAGAAGGAGATGGAGAAGATAAAGGCACGGAAGGGGATGAAGGCGAAGGAGAGGACGGAATGGAAATGCAGGATGTGGAAAATGGCCATCAGCTCTCCGACAGCGAAGATAATATTCGCTTGCCAGACAACCTTCCCACAGACCTGTTGCAGGTGTGGCATGCTTTCTGACGGTGATGGTGGTGGGAAATCGTGTGTGACTTGCTTGCTTGCTTGTGTTTTTTTTTTTGTGGTTTATTCAACTGATTTGTACTATTTGGATTGATTTTATGTGTAAATATCTGGTCTCTCTTGATGATTATTTGATTTTAAATAAATGGTGTATTTTAGAAATCTACTGATCCATGAAGGTATAAAGATGTAGCACAGATATAAATACATAATGATCAAGTAAATAGTTTTTGTGGGGGGGATGTCTAGAAATCACAAGGTTCATTAATCCAGAATTTTGGAAACTACAGGCTCGTCATCAAGTGATAGTGAATCAGAAGAAGAGGAAGAAGAAGGAGAAGGAGATGGAGAAGATAAAGGCACGGAAGGGGATGAAGGCGAAGGAGAGGACGGAATGGAAATGCAGGATGTGGAAAATGGCCATCAGCTCTCCGACAGCGAAGATAATATTCGCTTGCCAGACAACCTTCCCACAGACCTGTTGCAGGTGTGGCATGCTTTCTGACGGTGATGGTGGTGGGAAATCGTGTGTGACTTGCTTGCTTGCTTGTGTTTTTTTTTTCGTATTAAGATTACTTTGCAGTTTTAATTTTAAGAAAGAAATGAAGCTTAAGTCATTTGCGATTATTGTGTTGCATTTTGTGTACCTGTATTTTGTTTGTTTAGTAAAGCAAAAGCATATCAGCTGAAGTTTGAAAAAGTTAATTTGGGAATTATTACCTGTAAAAATTTATTCACGTTTGGTAATTTTTCTTTAAACTCCATACATTTATTTGAATGTGTGCAAATTTTTAACATGGTGTAGTCCCTTGGTGCCGGGTGACGCCGATCGGCGTGCAAACAAACCGCTCGAAAGCTGGCGTGCAGCCAAACGAGCCGGCGGCGCGCCAAAGCGCGGCGAGCCAGTGATTCGGGTTGATGTCCCCTACTCACGCGCTCAAAGTCGGCGCGCCGCCTTTGTTTGCTTAAGCATAGTTTTATTTTGTTTTGTACACCCGGCGCCATTGGGTTAATGTGAAAGATATAATTTGATTTTATGATATTGTTGGATATTTAGAGAACAATGCAAGTAACTCAAATTATTCCAGACATCTAGATATGTAGAGCTTTTGAACAAGTAATTTTGGACCTATTTTTGATTATGAACAGTTTGAACAACTTGTAAAATGTATGTAGCTAAACTGCTGAGAGAAAAGAGTTATGGATAATCTTTGTGATAAATCAGAGTGACCAAATGTAGCACCCTGTGATAAGTTTTTCATGTGTTGATAAAACTTTAAAACCTCTTAGTGATACTAGCCTACGGAATCAGAGAGTGAATAATGAACCTAGAAAGGAAAAAACTTGATAAATGCCTAAGGAATGTGCATGTTTAGGGGAATGACTTCCAGAGATTCCAGTGCAAGTACTCTGTCACATTATGTGAAAACTGTCATTGTCTGTGTTATCTGTTATTAATGTTATTGTGTATCTGTGTGGGGGGCTAAACTGCTGAGAGAAAAGAGTTATGGATAATCTTTGTGATAAATCAGAGTGACCAAATGTAGCACCCTGTGATAAGTTTTTCATGTGTTGATAAAACTTTAAAACCTCTTAGTGATACTAGCCTACGGAATCAGAGAGTGAATAATGAACCTAGAAAGGAAAAAACTTGATAAATGCTAAGGAATGTGCATGTTTAAGGGGAATGACTTCCAGAGATTCCAGTGCAAGTACTCTGTCACATTATGTGAAAACTGTCATTGTCTGTGTTATCTGTTAATGTTATTGTGTATCTGTGTGTGTACTTTACCCATATGGAACTTTGACATTGCTAGAGATGAAAGAAGTCATTAACCTGATATGCTTTTTAAATATGTTGAGTTTGAAGGACATGCTTAATGGGAATGAAATTTAGGATGCTTGTTTTTAATTACTTTTTATTTCTAGTTAGAACATTTTAAGCATTGCCAATGTGGAAACCTAGTTGCATGCTCAGTTGAAGAGACTGACAGGTCAAGAATTTTGTCTTGTACTGACTGTTCTTGTGTAGTTATTGGAAAGTTTGGGTTTAATTAAGAAGTGTATGTGTTCTCTGATCTTCTGTCACCAGGTATTTCCCAGAAGGTATGTGGATTTAGGTGGGGGGGGGGGGGGATTTTGAATCACTGGAAATATATTGGTAAATTATAGAAAATGTTTAAGATTTTGAAATCATATTTTTCTTAACATTTCTTTTTTTTTACATGATTTACTTATTTAGTGTTATTGATTCCAACAAGATTGTTGGTGTTGTCAGATTTTCCCTAATTATGCAATTGCAACTTTGGTGTATTAATAAATTTAATTTTTTCAGGTAATCAACAGATTAAAAGATGAAGGACATACCTGCAAGGGGTCAAGTCAGAAATTCTTCACAGATGCTGTCAATAAATTATTATTAAGGTATGAAATTTCATTTTTTTTTTTTTTTCACAGTATTGAGATAAAATTGAATAAATTGGGCGGACGCAAGAAGACACAGATATACAACTACCTTTCACAACACCTCCCATGTGGAACGCAAACTATAGTTAAAAGAGCAAAGAACCTTCTGGCAGAGAGGCAGGAGAATAGATTACGAGAACCACTCCAGAGGTGGGTCGCTAGGTCTTGCAGATTCCGTTGGGAGTCATTACAATATATATTTATATATATTTGTACCTAAATGATGGTTATATTCTCTCTTATCTTTCTTTCCTTCTTTCTTCCCTTCTTTCTTTATTTCTATTTCTTCTTTTTGTTCTTTTTTTTTTCTTTCTCTCTTTTTTTCAGTATTATGGATTTTGCTACTTGTTTCTCAGAAACTGATAAAGAGTTGTAAATATGACTCTTTTTTTTTTTATCTAGGTGTTAAATATCTTCTGAGCAGCTGTTAGGCAATGGGTTATTCATCCTTTCACTGTGATTTAAAGTGCAATAAAGTATAGTATGGGAAAGCATAGGGAAGCAAAGTTTTTGTAATTTGAATCAAGCAACGTTTTGGCTCAGCATTTGTCAATATTTTTTAGTTTATTATTTTCCTAAGTAAATGGTGCTACAAAGAGTTTATATAGAATTTGTTAATTCCAAAACTGGTCAAAAGGTTCTTAATCTGTAAACTCCTTCAATATGACTCCCCATCCCCCCCCAAAAAAAAAAAAATTAAAGACTTTCAGTGCGCATTATGAGGCCCCCAAAATTCCTCATGGGAGATGAAAAAACTTGTGCCAATAACTACTTGTCTCCCTGCATCAACAACAACTCTAAGTCGGTACTCTAGCTTTCCCAACTTCAGCTAGACCAATGTATGTAACTGAACGGGGGCAATTTGAGAGTGGGAACTCAGTCTTACATAGGTGAGGCCAATAGGGGAGTTGCTGTATTGAAAGGGTTAAAGATTCTTGACCATAAGTGTAACTAAGAAAGTTTGTTCTAAATTACTTCCAAATGTCAGATCAGCCTTTTCTCTTTTTAGCTGCTGTTGTTCAAGTTATTAGTGCATATGTAGCTTAAATGTTTGAGTGACAACTTTCTGAACAATTTATCATAGTGAAAGGGTTGAAATGGGAAAAATTTCCTTGTATCCTTTTCAAATCATCATTATTGTAAATATTCTGGTAAAACTTATTAGTTTTTTAGTAAATGGTTAGTAAAGGCGGCGAGATGAAAAGCATAAAAAGAAAAGAAGAAGAAATTCAGAATGAGAAAAATATAATTAAAAGATCAGAATGATTTATGCCAAAAATTTTGAAGGAATTTGCTGCTTTTGATTATAACAATAAATGTTTGTTCTGTTTGGTTTTGTATGGCTTATAATGTGTTGCATGTATAGAGATATTATTATTTTACCTAACTCTTGTCTCTCTTCTAATATTGAAATTATATATTGACAAAAGCTTATAGACCTGTTTAGCGAAGACAACAGTTAAAGGTGGATGTGGTTTTTCCTTTTCAGATTAAAGGAAGTGGTGGACAGTCACATGCCCCTCATGATGGAGCAGCATGCCCTAGAATGCCAGAAAGCGGCTGAATCCAAGTGGGTATATTCTGATTCTTTTGTTGTAGCGGGTAGTTCTTTTAATACGTTTTTTTATTTATAATATTAAGCCGTGGATATCTCTTGGGAGGCATTTGAGGAGGTATAGTTCTTTTATCTGATTGGTTGTTTCATCAGTTCTGTTTTTATCATATGTCAAGGATCATTAGGTCATTGAATTGTATGAAGGATATTTTCACAAGATAAAGAAGTGACTTGATTCAAGTTGTGTGTCTCCTTAGAATCATAAACGTCAAATCAGTTGATGAATGATAGATATAAAAGTGCTTCTTGGCTTTTAAAAACAGTATTTACCGAATTGTGGTGAAGTTCTTGCTGCTGATGCTGTCTTTTGACCTTTCTTTTGACCTGAAGGACTGATATTTTGACCTGTAAAGGACCTGCTTTTAACTCTTTTGGACAATATCCTTCTACTGGAGCAGACTATTTTTCTTGTGTGTGTTGATTCTTATGCTTACATTCTTGTGATTTAATGCATAATTTGTTTGATTTTTTTTTGTGGCTCATTAATATTATTATTGACTGAAAAAAAGATATAACAAGTATAGCCATTTTTCTTTTTCATTCAGTACTTTATATTTCTGCAATCATTGCATGGTTTGCTGTAATGCTGAGTGATCATTAACCTACATGAACACCTGTTTGTGCATTACTATATTCTGTGTTTTAAAAAGGGGATTAAATCAGTCCTTTATGATCATGTCCATCTTCATACTTAAATGTGCAACTACACTGCTAGATCTGACACAGGTTTTCTTGTAGTAATGTAGTGCCAAAGGCCATTTATGATCATGCAGACATAGACAGCTGTGAACAATATGGTTGCTTAACCCATTGGATCCGGTTGCTTCACAGCAGTCACATTGCCCAAAGTACGGGCATTAAGCTTATGTGAGCGGCCGCTCTGTGGCTTGTAGGCCAGGTGCAAATGAACATTCGTGTGCAGTGACAAGACTCTCTGCCTCCCCCTTGCAATGTTATTTTTTCTGTTGCATAAGCATTTTTAGCTTTTTTGCCATATTCCATTGTCAATATTAGTCCTTTGATTTTCTTTGTTCAGATGGTAATAGACTGTTGCCTTGCACAGACTCCATATCATCTCTCTAGGTAGTCCATAACTCAGTGCAAGATTAATAACAATAAATAACGTTTTGTTAGTTGCGTTATTTAAATTATTTTTTCGTAATATTAAATATTCTGTAATACAACCTGTGCCGCTGATCACAGTGGCCTGGAATAGGTTGCTGAGCATGGAAATGGCTCCTTCCCTGGAGCTGGTACTCTTCCAGTCATGGCTTACAAACACTACATTCCACATCTGTTTATTGATGGAAATAATGCAAAAGCCCCTTCCTAAACTGCAAATGAGTCGAATCACCCTCCAAGAGGAGTGTGTTCTCATAGAGAGTCTTTCCTGGCACCCTAGCTTACAGCCGAAATGCTCATGACTGCAAGTTTGCATCACCCTGGCCCACAGCCATATTTTCCCATGATGGCATGTTCATATCACCTTCCCCTCAAGCCAAATTTTTTTGTGATGTGATGGTCATGTCATCTGGATTGAAGGGGTGAATGGGTCCTGTCCATTATATTTTCCAGATTTTGAAATCATATTGGGGTACATGAATGGCAAAACAGTCTGCTGTGTTCACGATATATTTGAAAAAAATGCACAAGAAAAGGTAGATTGAAAGATAAGATATCTTTCAGTAAACAACTTTTTGGTGCAGTGGCATCTACTGCAAGGAGAAATGTACTTTGGTTATGATGAAATATTAATAAAAACTTTCAATAAATACTTTTTGAGTGTGTTTGCTGTAAATTTTGCTATGTAAATATTGTATTTTGTTAAATTTTTACCCCAAGCTGTGGGGAAAATCTGATTTTCACTGAAATGTTCTTTTTTGAAATGTATCTACACATAGATGGTTCCACAAGTGCTTAGCAACCAAGGTGTTAATTAGTAGTCTTTGTGCCCTCACCTGATTTTCTCCTTCCTTGAATTTTCATATAAATATACATTATTTAATGCTATTGATATTGCTGCCATTATTATCAGCAATATTAATAGCAATATAGAATGAAATAAGATATTTCAGAAAATTAAGGAAAAAGGTAAACAGGTGAGATAGGCAGTACTAATGACTGACTTATTGGTGACTAAGAACTAGTGGAGCCCTCTGTGGGTAACTACAATTAGAAAACTAAACTCACTATAGCCATGTTTTGTCAGTACTGCCATCCCTGGCAGCTTCAGGTAAATCTATTCACAATTGGTAAAATTTTGTTTAAAGTTTTGCAAGACTGGGGTGCATTATCATGCATCAGTTTCCACCTGGACCATTATCCAGCTCGCGCCTCGTTTCTGAGACGTCATTTCAACTGTTGGGACCTGAGCTTATGATGTTATTAACCCATTGCCGCCGGGGATGGCATGTACGTACATGCCATGCCCACTGTGGGTCGACTTGTTCGATTGTTTTTACACATAGATGGCTACACTTGTACTAAGTATCCAATGAGCCAATTACGAGAACTGCCTGTCTTGCTCGTTCACCCTTTTCATCGATTTACGAAAATATTTAACATTATCCTAATTTGCTGTTAAAAATAACACCATCTATATTTATAGCACTAGTAAAAATACGTTTTTTCCCGCCAGTTCAAGGAAAGGTGAAATCAGGACTAGCAGAGTCATCTATGGACAGAGATATTTCACAAAAATATAAAAAAGGAGTGCTACGTTTCCCCCATTTTTTGTTCATTTTCCCCGGCGGCAATGGGTTAAATGTCCTGCATCGAGGAAATTATTGCTGTGATATGATTAGACATTACTTGGCTTAAGAGGCTTATGGAGCCCTTAATCATGTTTCATAGTGTTTGGATATATCTTAGATTGCAGGCTTGAAGAAAATTCAGCCACCAGGGAATCAGCTTGCATCATTGTTGATAGTAGGGTGTGATCTTCTAGTGGTTTCAGATTTACCTTGCAGAAAATTGTGGTATCGTTCATATACTTTGATAGGCATCCATGAATTTTAGATAATTAAACAGAAGTGCTGATTAATTTATTTAACCCAATGGCGCCAGGTGTACAAAACAAAAAAAAAACTCTACTCTTAAACAAACAAAGGCGGCGCGCCGACTTTGAGCGCGTGAGTAGGGGACATCAGCCCGAATCACTGGCTCACCGCGCTTTGGCGCGCCGCCGGCTCGATCGGCTGCACGCCAGCTTTTGAGCTCTTTGTTTACACGCCGATCGGCGTCACCCGGCACCAAGGGGTTAATGGAGTTATTTATAGTGAAAGGGAATATGGTGGTTATGGATGCATTCCTCATGAACTGTTGTCATTTCTGTTAAGAGTTTTTGTTATCTGGGCTGCTTGATGCTGTATTGTCTGCCATTGGTCTGTTTTTCTTGTTTTTAGTGATCTGTCAGTCTGCCAGAGGTGATGATTTTAGGGTATTCTGTACTCCATCTCATTCTTTGTAAATATACCTAAGTTGTTTACATGTCCTGAGGGAGTCTCTAGTACTCTAGGCTTATTTGTGCTCATTCATTCACTCTCACTCTCACTCGCTCACTCACATAGAGTTAAGAATTAAATTAGTTATCTCGTGTGTATGTAAAAGTAAAGTATTTTGAGTGAAGAGAACTAGCTTCAGAGTGGAAAAACTTTCATTTTGATGGATATATTGTACATTGGTTTATATTAGAGAAATTGACATACTGATAAGAAATAAGAGAAGGAAAGGAAAGCTTTTTTTGAGGAAAGATTATGATTTGTAATATCTGTTTCTTTTGTCAGTCAGTCTTTTACTGAATGGAAAGAAGTTCTGAAATTAATCTTAATTCCTTAGAGTTGAGAATGTGCCTTTTGTCTCTAGGATGAGAGATTGCACAAAATCTTTCCAGCTCTTTGTGATACCCTGTTCAAATTTTGATAATGTGAGTGTTTTGATTAAAACTCATTCTTAGAACATGCACAGTAATATACATGCTAATGAAAGTTGATGTGCATATTCACAAGCACACACAGGCTACACCCACATGTATGTGTATATACATACTCACATATAGTTTTATAAATGTTTAAATTCTGCCAAAATGCTATATGCAGAAATGCTTATCTTTATTGAATATCATAGAAAAATGTTCTGTGGACATTCATTTTGTCAATATTATTGCACCATAAGGATGGCCACATTTCTTAGCTGTTCAGTTCTCAGTCTAAAGTTGCTAGCATTCTTCTCCTTGGCTATAAGATGCTATAATTCTTGTCTAGTCCCTGGCATGAAAAGTAAGTTATTAGGCATTGTTGAAGTAGGAAATGTAGGGTTGAAGTTTGATAGCATTGAAGCTGGAGGATTGAGGATTGAAGTTTGGTATTACTGAAGGCTTATTGCTGAAGTGAGTAAGGGTGTTCTTAATCCATTGCTGCCAGGTAATCATAGTCGACTTTAGATTTCTTTTGTCAATTTTGTTGGCACATAGCTGGTTCCATAACTGCTCTGCCACCAAGGATCCATTTAATTGGCCAACATGGCCTCACCAGAATTCCCCTTTCCTTGAGTTTGTGTTAAAAGAAAAAAAAAAGTTGTTCTTATTAAAGACATAATGTTAATAACCCAATGACGCCAGGTGTACAAAACGAAAAAAAAACAAACTACGCTCTAGCAAACAAAGCCGGCGTGCAGACTTTGAGTGCGTGAGTAGGGGACATCAGCCTGAATCACTGGCTCGCCGCGCTTTGGCGCGCCGCTGCGGTTTACGGCTGCACGCCAGCTTTCGAGCGGTTTGTTTTCACGCCTTTTGGTATCACCGGCACCAAGGGGATAACAATACTAATATCAAAAAGAAAAGAATCTGAATATCAAGGAAGAGGGTAAATAGGTGAGATAGATAGGACTAGTAATAGACTCATTGGTGATTAGGCACTTGTGTAAAGGCACTTAACCCATTCGCCACACGTGGCAAGAATAGGTGCCATACCCACTTTGATACACGTTTATTTATTGTATTTACACATAGATGGCTCCACAAGTTCTTAATCACCAAAGAGCCAGTTATCAAGAACTACCTATTTCACCTGTTTACCCTTTTCCTTCACTTTAGGAAAGGGTCTTTTGTATCATTTCATTCTCTAAAATATTCTAATGACAATTTGATAATCATAACATCAATAACAAAAATAGCAGTATCGATAGCATTGGTATTAATTTTCCCGCCAGTTCAATGAATGGGAAAATCAGGGTCGGTAACTAGGGCCTACTGATAGACTCCTTGCCGGCTGAGCACATGTGGAGCCATCTGTATGTAACAAAATTCACCAAAAACTACAGGGGACAGAACATAAATCCGGGGCGAATGGGTTAACTCGACACTGACGGGCCACACCTATTTCATAACAAACTGCTTGGTCTCCGGGGTATTGTTGTACACGTGGCGACGCACATAAGCACTCGGAGCAGGACATTGGATTTGATGTAGCAGACTCCCACACCCTGTGTCAGCTCGTTGCCCCAAGTCTCGAAAGTTTGAAATTTTCATTTATTTTTTTCACCTGTCAGTATTGGGGTAATAAACAAAAGAAACAGTGGACATGGCATGTATTCTTGCCATCCTGGCATCTGTGGGTTAAGCGTGGGTAACACTGCTCAAACTCATACATGGGCTTGGTCCCTGAGACACCTCTGGCTGCATTAGGCTCCCATTAAAGTTACATAACATTTACACTTCACTCGGCCTGTCTAGGCTGGCTTTACAATATTTGTAATGATTCTATAGCCATTTGATGATATTGTACAAAATTCTGAGGCCCATGTTGTCCACTGAAAGTAAGTGGGATCTGGGCAGGTGGTAATCTAAGTTTGTCTTGTCCCTTGTTTGACAGAAAGGGCACCTTGGCCTAGCCAAATGGGCGATAATGTCCCTTTTAGTGTCTGGTTTAAGAATTGGATGAGACTTGTGGAAACCAAGCCTTAGTATGGGTAATATAGGAAAAATATCCTTACCCTTGAGTTATTTGTTATGGAATCTTTACTTGTGTTAAGGTAGGGTTTTAATTTAGGTGTTTTATACTAGATCACCTATTCATGATTTCCTTTTTTTGTGAATTCTAGGTGAGTTGGTTTAAATATTTGTAGTGGGGGCTTTGTCACAGAGGAATAGTGATACACAAACTTGGAAATGAATAAATGCTTAGATTTTTAATGGGTTTTGGTCATATAGTATTTTTTCTTCCTTAGGAGTGTTTACCAGCCAAAGAAAATATGCAAGTAAAGGGGATACATTCATAACTGTTTATATATATATACACACAGTATATACATATAAATACATACATGTACATGTGTGTGTGTATATGTATATTTACAAAGGCAGAGGAAGAGGTACAGCAAATAAATTGCCTTGAAGAAATAGCATCATCCTTTGCCTCTGTATTGTTGTATCAGTAGGTCTTTGAAGGTTTATAGTTTTATTTAGCAATTTAAATTATTTATTTTGAAATTAAATTTTGCATCTGAAATATTTAAGCATAAATCTTTTTGTGAAATACAATCTCTTACTGGATTATAAGCTGCATACTTGGTAGTGTGAAGTTATGGTAAGTTGGTCAATATTAAAGTACAGGAAAAAGAAAAAGAAAAGAAGAAAAATTAATGCATTCATAGCAGCTCTGATGTTCATTTTTTGTAGCATTATGCATATTGAGTTTGAAAGTGAATGAAGCAAGCAACAAAAGGATTTGTTCTTTTGGATTAGTAATTGTTTATTCACTGGCATTTTCTGCTTCTGAGTCTTTATTTTTATTTCCAGTTACTGTAGAAAGAGCTTTTGTTTATTGTGAGCCTCTGTACTAAGGTTACTATTATGTGAATGAAAGGAAGTGCATGCATGCATCTGAAGGTCTCTCTACATGCAGGGGCAACCTTGCCTCTGTTTTATCTCAAGGGTATTTTGAAAGTAGTTTTTGTACACTGATTTTACTTGAAGGATTGGCAGTTACAGTAGCACTGAGGGACCCTGTCATCTTGGAAAGTTGTGGAAAAATTATAATGTCTGACAGTATTACTGTATTACTCTGTACTCCCCTGTGTATGTACGTGTTATTTATTTATTTATTATTCTTTTTAATCTGTATATAAACCAGCCAATCAGATGAAAGGAGTAAACTTCACTTTGCGAAGTACTTTTGGAAAGTTCATGAAGATCGGTGAATAAGTTCAGAATTGACTTTTGTTTATGATTTAGCAAAGCTGCAAAGTCAGATATACATTTTCTTTTCTGCAGACAGCTTATGGACACACTTCTTGTTTTACTTTTCTTTTGTGTTAAAAGGAATTTTGAATTGATGTCTTGACACAGTGAATATTTTGCAACTTTACTACAGTCCTGAAGACTAATCTTCATTCATAAATACATATATTTTCTATAGAATCTTTAAGCAGATTGTGAAACTGTATTATTTGAAATAAGAATAGATAATATAATCATGAAAATCTTTCTCAAAGTAAAAGACATGACATTTTCACCCAACCTGTTGAAAAAAATAAAATCCTAAGAACTAAGAAGGGGTAATTTATCCATGACAGAAATAACAATTTCTAATGTTACGTTCACAAATCAAAAAATTTGTTGGGTGAGAATGGACATGGTTTGAAAACGTTGTTGCCAGTTACTGAAGTATACCTTGTCTCACCCGTCAACAGCCCCCAACAGTACTGGGAGCTGTATTATCACTTCTGGTAAGGTCCCCCCCCTGCCACTTGTTGTCGCTGGTGACTGGGACGAGTGCTCATACTGAACAACCTGGTTATTTCACCCTTGGGCATTTTTTGATTGTACATTTCATGATCCCATCCTCCGCGGCGAGATGGTTTAATGAAAGGCTAGCATTTCTAAGAACTTCATTGGATTGTAAATCTTTTTTTGATGGAGCTTGTAAATGGTTTCTACAAGTATTATTTGTAAAAGAAGTGGACTAAGAAAAGTGATACAGGATAATTCTAACAAGATTTTGAAGACCTGGGCAGGAGAGTGAGCGAGAGAGGGAGAGAAAAAAAAAAAGAAAAAGTAAAGAGAGAGAGAGAAAAAAATGAAATTGGGGATTGTTGTTGAAAACCAGGTTTCTCAGTCAGTGAAAGGTGGCTGGTTTCTGTATGCTTTATTCTACACTTTGGAACACCCTCTCAACCTATTGGCTTTGGGTTAATAGAGACTGGACTAGAGGACATTCTCTTGGCAAGCTTTTCACTCCAATCTGCACATGCACAAGGATGGAACTGAAGCTGTAGTCAGAATGAAATGTATAGATGTTACAAGTGATGTAAGGTGGATCCTGGAGGGAAGACAGGAATTACTGTAATTGAGAAATAAGTATTATTTCTGACTGCATTACGTCACACAAATAATGAATTCACGCTACGCTTAATTTTTTACGACTTCCCCTCTCCATTGGATGCTACTACACTTCTCTCTTTTAAAGTTTGCCAAGAGGGAATCAGGATGTTTTTCCATGGCAGTGAATGAGCATTGACAGTGGATGTAACTTTTATGTAGTTTCTCTCTTTCTGTTTATGTATCTGTATTTTTTGTTTGCTGTTGTATAATGTACATGACATAAGAAGTGCATGTTACATCAGAAACATTGGGTAGCTCTTTCTTTATAAACAGTATGAAAGTAAAGATCTTTAGAAAGGACATTTAAACTAATTTAGCCTAAAGATTTCAATAAGTAAATGAAACCCAGTTTGCTGACGAGTACATGGTCGTCCAAACCAGTGTAATGGAAGTGTTTATGCATCTGTGTGCTTTTTAAACGATATAGTAAGTTACATACCACTGGCTACACTGCATTATTTAGTTCTCTGAGCTTGAATGGAGCATATATATTCTTTAGACAACTTCAGCTTCACCCTAGAATGTTTTGTTTCTTATACTTTGGGGATTTCCTGTTCTCATTACATTCTCCTCAACACCTTCGCTGTCTGTACATTACTTTTCTCTAAATTTCATTCTTAGAAAGTATAAAGCTTCAAATAACAATATGTAACATGTAAATATTTTATGGTACTTTAAAGTTGAGTGTAGACTCTTAGAAGTAATTGAAAAAAGTAAGCAATGATACTTATGCAGTATGGATGATATAGATAAGTCTTCCCACCTTACATCATGTATAAAAAAAGCTTCCAAACATACAGTAAGCAGTAGGAAATTTTAAAGTAGATATTAAGGTGTTGTTTTGGAAACCCGTACCTTCTTGTAAATGATAAAATTTGTTTTCTCCACTCCAGGGGTGAAAATGGAGCCGCGCAGAATGAGGATGAGGAGACTCAGGACGGTGATAAGAAGAAATCGAGGCTTCCAAAGAAGAAATTCTTATTTACTGAAACCATTAAGTATGTTCCATTGATTATTACAGTCATGCTCTGCTTAGTATCCAATTGGGCTAGCTCCATCCTTATTCCATATCTATTGTCCTTGGTTCCGAGGGCTGCATGATATTCATATGAGTAACACTTTTGCATATACATCCATAGTCTTATTTACTATAACATCCATTTGGACAAGGTCTAGATGTATGAATAGTGTCACACAAAGTTCTAATGTTCAGACATCCCAATCTGTAACTTAGTATTTTACTGCGAGTGTACATGATAAACTTTAAGTCTTACATAAATTGTTTGTACTATAATTGGAGCTTTCAAGCACCCACCAAAGCATGGGCTGTTAAAGATAGACTTTTATTTTTAACTAGGGAAAGGTCATATTAACATAACAATGAAAAGTTAAATACAGTAGATACAATGGCCAGGTAAGTACTATATTAAAATTTTATTTGAATATTTCCTTACTTGGGCATTGCTTTTGATTATTAAGACTTATGTTACATATTATTAATATTTTAAAAGAACCTGAAACTGTGATACAACTATCACTGGTGAGTTAGGATACAGGAAATGTGAAGCTGTTGCCTACAAGTTGATGCATAGTATTTTATAGTAAGCATTTTATTTGTAAGTAAGAAAAGATCACAATAAAATAACTAGTCTGTGTAAAGTATGTGGAGTAGTATCAAACCAAGAAAATAATCTTTTTTTGACCGTCCAAACATAAGTATGTAAAATGGTGGATGCAGGTATCCTATTCCTATATCACAGAACGCTTTCTTGATGTCAAGTGGAGCACGACTGCATTTGACCAATCGCAGAATTATATTCAAGTAATAAGAAAAAAATTGAAACTGTTAAGAGATAATATTAATTTGATTATTCTCTCTTTTCACAGGAAACATTTGTGTGAAGTTGTGAGTGTTCGTGTAAAATTTTTCCAAATGATGAAAAAGCGGTCCGAGACGCCAGAGGACCACATACGCATGTTTTTGGATGCAGAAGTTCGTCCTCTCTGGCCAAAGGGCTGGATGAACGCGCGAATATTATATAAAGAATCCACAGAAGCCCATTCAGTCATCACGTGAGTGTTACAGTTTGAATAGGTAGCAATCTATACAATAGTAGGTCTGCTAGCAAAAGTCTGTAGGATATATATCTGTTTATATATCAGTTTACACATCTAATTCTAATTTTTTATAGGATTAATAATCCAGAAGTTATGTATCACTAGAAAACACAAACTAGAAAAAATGCCTTTACCATATTGGCCTCAATTTAGTCAACAGTAATAGCCATACAAATCTTGAAACCAGTCTTATTTTTAATTATTATTTTTAGTTTTCCTTCTTTTTCTGTGAGAAGTTCTTTGGTGTCATGTGATAAATTTAATCAAGACATGAAATGTGTTTTGTCCTTAGTTTTGACAATCAAATTTCAGAAAGGTGGGAGAGTCTTAATTGAAGTTAGCAGAGGAAATTGTATGCCTTAGACCTGTCCCTCACTTCTCTCCTGAGCAACCTCTTTTCTTTCTTTCTTTTTCTCTCTTTCATTCTGTCACTTTTTTCTTTCTCTCTCATTCATTCAGTTATGTAGCTGCATTCTGTCATTCATTTATTCATTCTCTCTTTCTCTCTTTGTCTTGTCTTTTCCTCTTAATTCTTAAATTCTTTCTCTCGCATGCCATTTCTTATTCACTCACTCCCATTTCTTACCTCTATTTACACCTTTTTCTTATTCTCTCATTTGTGTATTTGTCCATTCACTTTCTTTCCCCTATTCTGTTTGTCTGGGTTTCATGAGCTTCCCAATCCATATTTGAAGGGGATTTTTGTAATCATGGTAATGATACTAAGAAGGCATAGGAATAAGGACAGGTGATGTTGCTGAGTGGTGTATAGAAAACAAACTTTAAATAATTTATGCATGTTGGGAAAAAAAAGACAGATTGAGAGAGGAATAGTTTATACATACCATGAGGAGAAACTTAATGCACAAATGGATTAATCTGTTCTTTATTTCCACAGGGATAAAAGTAATATTAGGACAACCCCAGCCAAGAAAATGGTCACACTAGGAGGGGGAAGCACCTCCATTACCCCAACCACCCCCACACCACAACCTCCCAAACCCTCTCTCAGTGCAACTGCAGTTCCCAAGGCAGCTTCTCCTGCAGTTACAAGCACATGTAAGAGTGAAGTAGTGAAAAAGAAAATTCCACCAGTTGAACCGAAACCTGCCCCAGCCTCAAAGCCTGTGGTTGAGGCAGCTGTTGCAGGCAGTGGTGTCCTCAGTATAAAATCAGTTGAAAAGATTAATGAAGAAGTGCCAAAGAAGACTAGTAATTCAGAAATTTCAACTCATAAAGTCAGTGACGAGGAGAGTGCAACAAAAATTAATGCCGTCAAGCCGCCGGTTAAAAAATCTTCCGCATCATTCAGTGTCATAGATTTATCGAGTGATGAGGATAAGTCAATGAATAGTAAAGTCGAATCTTCAAGGGTTAATCAGATTGCCAAATCTAAAGACACAGAAGCAGCACAATCCAACAAGAAGGAAGTGTTGGCAACATTCTCTAG